AGGGGATTAGTGAGGGATGACCAACAACTGAACAGCAGGCTGCGTGGTGGGTGGCAAGGGAGGCAATTGAGGGTAACCAGGCTGGCGGGGGCGGGGGGGAGCAGTTGGGGGTGACCAGGCTGGCAGGGGGGGCAGTTGGGGGCAATCAGGCCGGCAAGCAGAGGTGGTTAGGGGTGATCAGGCTGGCAGGCAGGCGAGCAGTTAGGAGCTAGCAGTCCAGGATTGTGAGAGGGATGTCTGACTGCCGGTTTAGGCCTGATCCTGGATTGGAGAGGGTGCAGGCTGGGCTGAGGGGACCCTCCCACGCACAAATTTCGTGCACCAGGCCTCTAGTTAAAGTATAAAAAGCATAGGAGAAGTAGTAAAAGAAGCCCAAATAATTTAGAATTGAACAAACAAATATTCTACTCTTAGAGATGACAAAGCAAGCCCGCTGATATGGCTCAGTGGTTGAGCATCAATCTATGAACCAGGAAGTCATGGTTCAATTCCCGGTCAGGGCATATGCCCAGGTTGTGGGCTCAATCCCCAGTGGGAGGCAGCCAGTTGACGATTCTCTCTCATCACTGATGTTTCTCTCTCTCTCCCTCTCCCTTCCTCTGTGAAATCAATAACAATATATATTTTAAAATTGACAAAGTAATATCAGGCAACTTCTGAACCAGGAGTTCAGTGAACTTGGATGGGAAAAATTCAATCATTTTTTCACTAACTTCTAACTGAAATATAGCATTTCCTTTAGTTAGGAACAGAGGCAACAATTGAGAGCAGTATTAGCAGTACCTGTGACTTTATCACCAACAGAAGTCACATTTAGATATCAAATTATGGTTGTTGCATATGTTTTGAAATAATAATTTGATATTGCATCATAGAAATTTCTGAGACAAGATAGACTAGATGATCTGATAATTTTTATTTACTAAAAATATCTATATATTTAAAAGCCTAAGTGACCATCTGACCGGTAGCTATGACACACAATGACCACCAGGCAGCAGATGCTCAATGCAGGAGCTGCTGAGCTGCAGTGACTTGGCAGCATTGGTTCTTGGGTGATGTACCCGGAACCAGAGAGGAGGGAGCCTGATTCGGGGTGCATCACCCGAGAACCGCTCTCTCACATCCGGGACCCTTGGGGATGTTGGAGAGCCGGTTTTGGCCCAATCCCTGCAGGCCAGGCCGAGGGACCCCACCGGTGCATGAATCTATGCACCAGGCCTTGAGTATACAAATAAAAGGTATCCATGAAGTTTTGTGAAAAGACTGGGTATCATTCATTATGGTGACTACTGTCTATTTAATTGCATGAATTAGTATGTCTCACCCTAGGGGCCTGAACCAAAGACCTTAGGAGTTTGGGAGGTTTGGACCAGAGACTCAAGGGCCTTGAGATTTTGCCTAGGACCAAGATAAACTTTTCAAGAAGATGCTTTTTACATGATACCTGTCTCATGGAAACAAGTGAAGTTGGGCCCATTCAAGAAAGGCTAAACTGTTACTTTAGGACAGCGATTTTCAACGTTTTTTCACCTCATGGCACCCATAAACGACTAGTAATTACTAAAATTCTGCGCACCAAAAAAGATTTTTTGCCAATCTGACAAAAAAAACAGGTGTAATTTCGATTCATTCGCACTGGACGGCTATTGTTGGCTGTTGTGCTCTTTTTAATATGACAACCTGAGGCAGTGGTCGGCAAACTCATTAGTCAACAGAGCCAAATATCAATAGTACAACGATTGAAATTTCTTTTGAGAGCCAATTTTTTTAAACTTAAACTATATAGGTAGGTACATTGTTATTAATTTAATTAGGGTACTCCTAAACTGGCCTTTGCTAAAAACGTCCTCAATCTGATTGAGGTACATTCGCTGAGGTCGACCCCTTCCAACTCTCCCATCCACACTCGTCTTGTATACTTGGTTCGTCGATCTCCTTTTAGTCATCCTCTCTATATGTCCAAACCATCTCAACATACCTTTCTCAATCCTCGACACTACATCTTCTTTCACTCCACAACGTTCCCTAAAATTAACTTAATAAACTTTACTTAAAGTTTAAGTCAACTTCACACTGTATGTGTGCACCCGCATGTGGTATTTTGTGGAAGAGCCACACTCAAGGGGCCAAAGAGCCGCATGTGGCTCGCGAGCAACGGTTTGCCGACCACCGATGTAAGGAAAGAGAGGTCAGTGTCCCTGACTAAATAGTCAGGTATTGCATGTTTTAAAAAACTCTTGCAGCACAGAGGTTGAAACTAGCTGTTTAGAGGAAGAGGACCAAAGGCTCAGCTTTATTGCTTTTGTTAGAATTTTCAAGTCAAGCATTTTTTACAATTGTAGGAAATAGGCTTCTGTGATCCATCTCCAGCATAGCCAACTTTTAATGGAAACGGTTACTCAATTTCCCCAGGGCAAACAGAATGTAGGGCGGAGGGAAGAGGACATAAGAACAAAGAACTGTGTATGGGAGCCACCACCACGGTGGAAACCCCCAAGGCACCCGCCTCCAATAGACAGAGGGAGGTGGAGACAACTAGAAAAGGCCTCAGCCCAATTTTTTAAATGTCCCAATGGGAGACAATAAGACCTAGGCGACATATGAGGAAATATTAACCCCATAGTACTCGGCCAATGAGGAACCGGAGGAGGGACTCTCGCACCCTAGGGGGATAAATAGGCTGTGATCACCACTCCATGTGTGCCTGTACAACCACATAGACACCCGCTCTTGAGAACTTATTAAGTATGGTCTCGTTTTCACCATACTTCTGTCTCTGAGTCCATTATTTTAATTTGAACAGGTGAGCATTTCTGACAACAATGTCTTTTTTTTTTTTTTTTTTGGTGGGGAGAATTTTTTTTAATTTTTGAAAATGTCAGTCTGGTTTAATCATGCTAAAATATAAAAGAGGGCAGGATTGGTCAGGGTCAGGGTTAGGGTTAAAAAAAAAAGAGGGCAGGATTGATTGGGTTTTCACATACAGGAATTATAAAGAAAAGGGGAAAGTTTGTTGCACTTGGATCAAAATATATTTTATTGACTTTTTTTTTTTTTTTACAGAGAGGAAGGGAGAAGGATAGATCAATACTTTCAAGACAATTGAGGATATCTCAGGGATAACCATATTCAGGAAGCAAAGAAAAACAAAACCAAGGGTAGGTGAGAGAATACAGGACAATCATATAGTTGTCCTTCTTATCTAGATATTACTCTTATTGTTCTGTTTTCATAAGGGAGGGCTTTCCTAACAGTGGGCTGACTCCTACAAATCTGCGGCATTTTGTATATTTCTCCCTCACTGATCTGAAGTTTTCTTCACTGGATGTATTTCAATTAAACCTGTACCTGATACTAAACACAAACCATGGCTGGGAAATGAGACAACCAGGCTTTTTTAAAAGGTGTACTCCCAATCCCTGTGTTCTATAACTGTTTTCTCACAAAGAATGAGAGATGATGACTGCTTGACAACTCTTTAATAATTACTCCTCTCTTCCACACCTGAATGTGTGCACATATCTTCTAAGTCTCCATCTTCCAAATCTAGACAAACTATTTTAAAAACTAAAACCTGTATTTTGTGACCAGTGTCTTACTTGATTAGTTGTTATTGTATTTTTTTGACTCGGAGAAAGCTGATGACTAAGCTGAAAGGTAAGTGTGCAATCCACTCCTTAGTCAAAAAGCACTACTTCAGTTGCCAACAATGTTCCTATGTGTAAGGAATATTGGTTTGCAAAGTTATTTAATATTTCATGGTAAAATAAAACCGAATCATGTTAAGATTCTGTTATCTATGTTACCAGATATCACTCTTATTTTAAAATCTGTATTATTATAGGTAAAGGAATGATAATAGTAATAGCTTTTGCCAAATGAAATCTAGTCTAATTCTTACTGTCAAAATGAAAAGTTTTCTCTGAAAATATCTTTAAGCTTATACTTGATATGCTTTCTAATAGAGAAAAATAGTTCTTGGGAAAGACTCAACAAAAATCTATAGCCTGTGCAATAATATAAAATGCACTTCTAACTCTAGAGAGTTTTGCTCAGTGGTTAGAGTGTCAGCACTCGGACCAAAGGGTCTCGGGTTCAATTCTGGATCAAGGGCAGAATTGATCCCTTGGTTGCAGACTTGATCCCTGGCTTGGGTTGGGGCGGCAGGAGGCAACCAATCGATGCGTCTCCCTCATGTTGATGTTTCTCTCTCTCTCTTGCTCCCTCCCTTCCACTCTCTCTAAAAATCAATGGAAAAATATCTTCAGGTGAGGATTTTTTTTTAAAAAAAGCACTTCTGACCACATTGTTTTTGTTTCAGTTTGTTTCCTGATTATCATATTGTATAGCAATATGTATTACTACCATAGCAATAGGTATTAATAGAACATTTCATAATTTTTGTCTGGATTGGGTAGGGGTGAGAGGAAAGATCTGGAAAATCAGGAGTATATTAACTCAAATTTCGGCACATAATTATTCAAATAAAATTTTAATGATTTCAGTTCAATACAACTGAAAATGTAGTGTAAGGGCATTTCCTGCTAAATTTCAAATTACAAGTTGTGGGCCATTTCTGAGCAGAAGCATCATATCCTACTGAATATTCAGTTTAATCACTAAAGTGATTGATGGTATCATGGTGAGAGGTGGGGAAAAACAATGATCAGCTCATAGAATGTGGCTAAATAGGAAAACAAAAACAATGCAAATAATAAAGAAGCTACAGATATTAAAATAGTAATACAATCCCAAATATCCATCTCTTAAATTACTAGAAAAAAATTACAGCAAATATAGTCTTCTCAGATTTGGGTAAATTTATTTTCATTTTATAGTGATTTTTAAGCCCTATATCCAATGAAACCAATTTTAAAAGCTCTATGAGAAATGAATATTTAGATAGCTATTACACTTTTCTTAATAAAAAAAAAGAAAAAGTTTAAATTTCTGAATGAGCAAGATTCACTTTTGTGGGTAGAGGCCCTGCTTCTTCATGATCTTCCACTTGAGATCTAACAACCACAAGAGAAGAAGCTGGATATCTGTTTAGTTTTTGTTCATTCACAAATTCCAAGTCGCCATAGATACTCAGCTTCTGCAAGAGAAAATCAATGCATATTAGAATTTGGATAATTAGAAACTTCACTAAGTAAGTCTTCAAATAACAATTTAATCTACGGGTATTTTGTAAAAAAAAAAAAAAAAAAAATTCTATAAATGTCCTCAAGAATGAAGAATGCTTTTACTCAAAGTGTTACAGATAGGTGATTCAGCTGTCAGTAATGGCAAAGAAAACTTTTCCACATGTCCCAAGTTAAAATATTTAGAAGCATAACAACAAAGATCAAGAAAAACTGCTCAGGTTTAAATGGAGTTAGTGTGGTCATACCAAGAGCACTTATTTGGGATATTTGATTTTTTAAGTGATCCATTCCTTCAAGATCTTAGTTCTCTGACCAACTTAACTTGTCTAATAATTTGGAATAAGTTTCTCTGCTACTAAATGTTTTAACTTAATATATTTGGAAAATATGTGCTATTTTAAAAGGCTGTGAGAACAATGAATTTACATGAAACATTTTAACACTGAAAGGTCTTCACAAACATATAAAAGCTCCTTAAATTATCATATCCAAGAAAATAGTAAAACAACAAAAGAATTAAAACATAAAATATTCACTGCAAATGTCATAAAACTCACTGGAGTATAACAGTTATGTCTAACATCTTTTGAAAGTAGGTCTATTTAGATGTAGGTTATTTCCTAAAAGCAGAAAAGCTAAATAAAAAGTATTTACTAAGAAAGAGGATAGATTTGTTAACTCGTACAGCAATACATCTCTGTGTCATGAGTGAAACACTGAAGTGCTGACTTTACTGAGAGGATAAGTGACTGATTATAGAGCAAGAACCACATGAAAATACTTAGTATCGGAAAGGTGCATTTAAAAGATGTTGAATAAAGAGCACTTTTAAGATTTTAAGTATCCATTAATACCGATATGTGCTACAACATGGATGAACCTTGAAAACATCATGCTAAGTGAAAGAGGCCAACCATCAGAGACCACGTATTGGTTGCCTATGGCTGGGGTGGTGGTGTGGTGGTGGTGGTGCTTGGGAAAAAATGGGGGGTGGCTACGAATGAGTATGAGTTTTCTTTCTGGGGTAATAAAAATATTCAAAAAATGATTGCCATGATGATTGCTTCCTTGTTTCATGTTTCCGATATGGTTTGCTGACTACTGTTCAAGGCAACAAGGAGATGGCCCAGTACCTTATATTTTTCCATTAAGAGAATGCCCTCCAGACAGATTCAGTGGTTGATGGACTGGACATGGATCTGATATTGTGTGGCCTCCTTAAAACCCAGAATTAACATGTGATAATCTGCTCTGGGGTACTGTGAAAGAAAAACTCTACCTAATAATATTTAAAGACCTTGAAAGAGCAACCAAGAACTGTGAGAATAGATGGAGGTGAGGTGGGAGATAGTATAAAGGGAACCACTTAATTCCTCATCCCAGTAAGAAGACATTAGATAATGTCTAAAGCTGGCAAAACAAAACAAAACAAAATAAAACAAAACCAAAAGTTAAAATTTAAAAAATGTTAACTACTTGGAAAAAATTTTAAACTATTGGCTGTAGCCCAGTTGGTGTGGCTGTGATTGAGTGTCGACCTATGAACCAGGAGATCAAGGTTCAATTCCCAGTCAGGGCACATGCCTAAGTTGCAGGCTCGATCCCCAGTAAGGGATGTGCAGAAAGCAGCCGATCAATGATTCTCTCTCATCTTTGATATTTCTCTCTCTCCCTCTCCCTTCCTTTTTGAATCAGTAAAAACATATTTTAAAAAAACCTATTGGATGTAGTTTATCTCAGAAGTGAGGAAGAGGAAGATTTAATTTATGTTAATGTATTACTTCTAAAAGTTAAAAATTTTTAATTAAAAAAATATTTTTAATTTAGTGAATATGTATTTGAGCTTTAGGCCTGGCTCTGCCACAAATCAGTTATGTAATCTTTGATAAGTTATTTACTTAAATCTTTTCTAAAACTCAGTTTCTTAACAGAATTTGGATTAAAAAGCTATGGCATTTATATTGTTTTCTGATTGTCTGACTCTTTCATGAGACTTAAAGCTTCTAAATGGCAACCTTCTTAGTCTTTTTTTTTGTAAGAGGAAGAAAATAATGTTTATTATAGTTTAAGACATGTTTCACCCTACTTCCTGACCCTTAGAAGCCTTAAACTTTGTTCCTTCTTGATCTTATTCTTCATTGTACCTTTAATCCCTTGAATAGGGTCTGACACATAATAAGTTACCCATAAATATATGTGATTCACTAACATTAATGTTAATAGGAGTTTTCTAATAACTGAATACATGAAATCAGATGATCATGGTTTTGACAAACAAAGAAAAAGGCAGCATACATATAAAGAGATAACAATGAGGCAGCACGTAGAGCAGGGGTGGGCAACCTTTTTTCTGCCAAGGGCCATTGGGATATTTATAGCATCATTCCAGGGCCACACAAAATTATCAACTTAAAAAATTAGTCAGCTATATTTGCTCAAACATTTAATTAACTCACCCCTAATGCCTTGGCAGGGCCAGACCAAATGACTTTGCGAAACCAAATGTTCTCCACCCCTGATGTGTATCAACATCTGTTGCTATAACAACGTTCTGAGGCTGCCTGATCTCTAAAAAGAAATATCCAAAACTGCTAACCCCAGTCCTTATATGTTGTTTGATCTGCCTGACAAGGACCACTATGGAATGACAACTCTTTATTATTTTAAATAGGTAACTCAACAAGAGAAAGTGTCATCCCATTAAGCTTCAAAAATGACATCACAAATGTGAAATAACAGAGGAAAAAATGTGGAGAAAAAAAGATCAAAATCTTTATGCATCAAGTCACTCAAAATGTATCTTCTTAGAAAAGTCTAGCTCCATGAGGTTATAGCCATAATTTTAATTGTTAAGTATAGGAAGAAGAGCTCTAGAGAGGAGCAAGAAAGTAACATCGCAAGGCAGATATTTGTAGGAAATGTAACAGGTGCCAAGAGAACTCTATATGGGTGTTGATTCTTTAGACTCTATGATCACAGGAATCTAGGGGGCATACGTGGGAAAAGTGAGTTGTTCCCCAAAGAATTTGAAAATAAGGGGAGAGAATTTCTCACAGAATTAAAGCTATATAATCAAAATAAAATTTATCACAGCAGAGACAACATCTAAAAGGAAAAGAAAGATCAAGTCTCTGAAAGGAAATTTCCTCAAATCTATAAGATATAACCAAAACCACAATGAGACACATTGATATGTCTAAACAACACCGGAATAGGAGATTGCTTCCATAGGTAAAGAGAGGACAACAATGAAATGTCCATTTACAACTATTTGGATAGAAAATGCTCAATTTAGTCAGTAGGCCTGGGGACCAGAATCCAGGTTGTGGTGGATTTATCAAGGTAAATTTCACCTGAGGCCAGCCATTCAGTCTTTCTTGGCAATAATCAGACCAATCTCTATGTGTACCCTTTTCTTTCTTTTTTTTAACCTAGGGGCAAGGAGAAGGAACTAATGATGTAAAAAGGAAGGAATAAAGTGCCACATGGTGGGGAGGTCAACAAAGATTTACTACTATGGTTTTGTAGCTTTTTTGCCATAGGATTTAGAGTGCATGGGGTAACTAAAGGAAGTAACAGGCAACGAAAATCCTATGTAAGATGGGTAATTTCATTTTATCAGAAATAATGAAATGACTAAAATATGGACATCAGCACTAAAAATAACACAAATAATGGAGCAAGAAGATGTCATTAGTATACTCCTATCATAAGCAGATGAGTTTTACAGAAATTTACACAATCTCTAATACTTTAATTCCTGATCCTGTTTAATTTTATCCATTTGGTTTATTCCCCTAATTTAAATTATTTTAATCAAGGTAGTTCCTTATAGTACTTCCCTGATAATCAGCTTATTCTTGTCTGTACCTGGGAAAATTGTCTACTCTCTTCTCTGCTAATTCATATCTACCCATTCTTCAAAGTTCAGATCAAGATCCACGTTATCTAAAAGCCTTATCTCACAATCCAGCACATGGTGTCTGCTTTCCTTAACACTTTAAACATTTATTATTTGTACCACTTAAAATCCTTATCAGCCATAGGGAAGATGGTAACAGGAAAAACACAGGAGTTGTGAATCAAAAGATAAGAGCTAATTCCAGCCTCAATACTTTCACTGCTGTGCAATCCTAGGAAGGTTAACTGGCTTTGTAGGCCTGCTAAGCCATCTATAAAGTAAATAGAACATACTGTAGAGTACTGCTGGATGTGTAAGATATATGAAAATACTTTATAAAATTTACAGAACTATATGTTAGTTATCAACATTATCCTGTTCCAATTTCTAGCTGCTTGTATCACATATCTTAAAAATATAAAATATAAATCTTAATTATTCATGCATAAACCTTATATTAAAACATATCTTTATAGTCTGTTAAGATAAAACTGTTCAAGCACCATGCTAGGCACATGCCAACTACTTATTAGAGTCTATTTTAACTTTCCTCCTTCCTTCTTTTCACTCTTTTTCTATTGCACTTTCGAGGCACAAGAGAACTAAAGTTTATTTCATTTGGAGTTGAGTTAGCCCATATTTATTATATAAATAATTCTTTCTTTGAAAGCTAAATTGAATAATCAAATTATAGACTTTTCCAAAATAAAACTCCTTTACCTTAAAAGTCAAATTTCTTGGGTCAATTAAATTTTCATTATCAAGGAACTCATAATAGTTTTCTATCTCTTTCAGGGTTAGATTCCAGAACAAAAGAACTCAAAATCAAACGCTCTGGCCTTGCTGCTTCTAAAGCAGCAATTACTCTTTAAAATTTGTGGCAATTAGTTTAAAATGCTAAGTGGGCATACAAGACTTCTTTCTTAATATCACCTTAGAAACTGATATCAACAGGTTCTGAAAAGCCTCAAAGAACCAGGGAGAGAAACACTTTAAACTAGCCAACATGTATGTAACTACGGTAGTTAGCTTTACAGAAAACTGGAACAGTGATGCTTGTGCTGCAAACCTGTAATTTTCATGTGTGCCAACCCCCAGGTATGTGACTGAAACCACCAAATCTTCTCTCATTCTATTAGTAAGAATGAGAGAAAATAGGCATTTAAAATGATTAATCATATGGCACAGTCTTCAAATGGCGTATTAGAATTAAACCTACCTCAGAGGGAACATACTGCTCCACAGCTGTAGCAACAGTTGCACAACAAATCCAGAGCAATACCATCACCGAGAGGACAAGGGTTGTGGTTAAAATCCACCCAGAGTTACTG